TCCGACCCCTGCCTCCTGGTCCAGAGCCCAGAGCCGCAGGACCGTGAAGAGCGAGCACGAGACGCACAGCGCCAGGTAGGCCACGGTGCCGGTGCCCACCCAATACAGGAAAATATGGAGAGTAACTTCCATGGCTTTTTCACCCGGCCTCACCACCTCCTAGAATGAAGAGTGGAGAGGAGGAGTGGGGGTGAGGGTGGTTTTAAAAAAAATGAATGAATGAATTCAAGAAGAGACGCTGACTGTGACCACGAAAACTATACTAATATGTGCTGCTCCAACAGCAGCTCCAGGCCTAAGTCCCACCTCTGGCGCCTACACAATTATTTTTAAAAGAAAAATACACAAAAATGGCATGTGTTCTCAAGACTCAGGTATTTTAGTAATTGCAGTTCATCTTAAACACAATTGATGGGGCTGGAGTGATAGCACAGTGGGTGGGGCATTTGCCTTGCAGGCAGCTGACTCAGTTAGATTCCCAGCATCCCGAGAACCACCAGGAGTAATTTCTGAGTGCAGAGCCAATAGTAACCCTTGTGCATAGTCAGGTGTGACTCAAAAAGCAAAAACCAAAAAAGCAAAAAGCAAATAAACAAAAAGCCACAATTGCTACACTTTCTTACAAATTCAAAATCATGAGTCCCCAAATTTTTAAAAATAAATATCTATAAATAATTTAAATACCACTATATTTTCAAATAAAAATAAAATTATAAAGGCTATGATGTATTTTTAAGATATTATTCCAAAGAAATTATACAGATGTTTTTTGACTACAAAAAAGTAAAGGAAACAATTTGATGGAATTAGTAAAGAAGAGTTCCATCACCCAGAAAAAGTCCCAGAAACTTCCATTCTGAAGAAAGCAAACGAAGATAGAATCCTATACTATTGTCATTGAAACCATTTGCATATACTCATTGATTATGCATCCAAGAGACAATATCTCTGTGCCTCACAGACTGAATCCCACTTCCTCTGACTATGGTGCATCCAGGAAAATGAGAGTGAAAAATTGTGAGGGCAGTCATTTGAAATATTTTCTCTCTGCCAGGCTGTGAGTACGCATTGCCAAGGCAAACATTCTACCTGCTGGACTATCTCACTGGCCCCTGAATTTCTGTCTTTTCTTGGTGCATTCAAGTGGCTCCTAGTTTGCGGTTCGTGGATATGCCTTAGGACAAAAAACCAAGTGGTGGCTTTGGAAATAAGCTTGACAAGCTTGCCTGCTTTGCATTCTACCTTTTGGAGGCAAGCTGACCCCTGTTGAGAGGAAGTCTATAGAGATTCACCTTGATTTTCCTTCTCTGCCCCCAAAGAAGACTCCTCAGAAGGAGTGAAAGTTGGTGACAGGTAGGCTAATCCTTTTTCCCGTGAACATGAATGGTTTCCTTTTCAAAGACCTGCTGTCCAGTGAGACCACAATGTCTTAGTGTCATGACCACTCCGGGGATGTGTCTCAACATTAGATCTGATTAAACCTCCATCTCAGCCTGTGCATCTCCATCCCCATGTGCTACACTTCCCTGAGAGTGGTTCTTGTGGATTCTGTCACTGACAGCCTTGTGTCTGGGCAGCACACAGAGAAATGGAATTTGAATGTGTGAAGATTAGAAATAGAGTACACTTTGCTTATCTGAGACTCAAACTCTACTTGATTCTTTTAAATTTTGTATTATTATTATAATAAGTCCTTTTCATTTCAATTTTCTTTATAAATGCTACAGAAGTATACCAGCTCATAAAATCTAGTGATATAAATTCCAGATGGAGTAATTTTATTCACTTTTGTATCTAAATTCTTTTTCTATGAATATTGACTTGAATAACATTTATATTCATTATGTTTGTCAGTTTGAACCAGAAAATTATTTTTCTTCCCATATGAGACATTAGGGTATGACAGGAAATTTAGAATTTTTAAGAGTTGTTATAAAATTTAGTTGTCAATTATATGATATGCTTTCAAGAAAAATTGAATAATATGCAAATAAACCAAGGACGAACAATAAAAAAGTCAATGTCACAGTTTAAAATGACTTATTTGTTGATTTAAATTTTCACAATTATATATTTTTTCACTAAAGAAGAAAAGTGCAAAACATTTCTCTATCAGCTGTGATGACAGTGTTGGTTGAGACATCTCTCACATTTTTTTCTTTTAACCAGTCTGTCTTTATTCAAATCAGTCAGAATTATGATATGGAAATCATGAAGGTTGAAGGACAGCAATTACACATAGGTGTGGTTGAACATCAACATGAACATATGTAAAGCACCTGTTCCAGGGGAAATTCTCTCTTTTTTAAAATTTTTATTAGTGAGACACCATGAGGTACAGTTGTAGACTTATAAATTTTTGTGCTTGGGTTTCAATTATACAATGATCAAATACCCATCCCTCCACCAGTGCCCATTTCCCACTACTACGGATCTCAGTATCCCTCCAACCCCCCACCCCCCCCATCCCATCCTGCCTCTGTGGCAGGGTATTCCCTTTTGTTCTCTTTATCCTTTTGGGTGTTGTGGTTTGCAAAAGAGGGAATGAGTGGCAATCATGTTTGGTCTATAGTCAACTTTCAGCATGCTTCTCCCATTCTGGGAGAATCCTCCCAACAACCTTCTCTATCTGAGCTCCCTTTTCCCCTAGCATGTGTGGCTGGCCTCCAAGCCTTGGAGCAAAATTCCTGGTACTAATCTCAGCCAGTCTTGGGTGTTATGTAGACTTACACATTTTTTGCTTGGGGTTATACAATGATTGAGTACCCATCCCTCCACCAGTGCCCATTCTTCAGCACCACTGATCCCAATATCCCTCCCAATCACCATTCCCCCCCCACCCCATTCCACCCTGCGTCTTTGACAGGGCATTCCCTTTTGTTCTCTCTCTCCGTTTGGGTGCTGTAATTTTCAAAAGAGCCATTGAGTGGCAATCATATTCACTGTATAGTCTATTTTTAGCATGCATCTCTGATCCTGGGAGGATCCTCCCAACACCCTCTATTTGGTGCTCCCTTCTCTATCTGAGCTGCCTTTTCCTCCAGCATGTGTGGCTCGCCTCCAAGTCCTGGAGTGAACCTCCTGGTACTTATCTCAGCTATTCTTGGATGTTAGTCTCCTCTTTTGTTACTTTATGTTCCCCAGATGAATGCAATGTTTTTATGTCTCTCTTTCTGACTCATTTTGCTTAGCATAAAAATTCTCATGTAGTACCACTTGTACGTAAATTTCACGACTTTATCTTTTATAACAGCTTTATAGTACTCCATTCTGTACATGTACCAAAATTTCTTTAACTAGTCATCTGTCCTTGGGCATCAGGTTTTTTTTTTTCAGATTTTAGCTATTGTAACAGTGCTCCAATTAAAAAATAAGTGCATATGTCAATTCGATTATACTTTTTGCCTCTCTGGGATATTCCCAGGAGTGGTATTGCTGGGTCAAATGGGAACTCAATTTCTAATTTTTTGAGAATCGTCCATACTGTTTTCCAAAAGGGTTGAACCAGTCGGCATTCCCACCAGCAGTGAAGGAGGGTTCCTTTCTTGCCACATCTGCACCAACACATGTTGCTTTTGTTCTTTTGGATGTGGGTCAGTCTCTTTGGTGTGAAATGATATCTCATTGTTGTTTTGGTCTGCATCACCCTGATGATTAGTGATGTAAAGCACTTTCTCATGTGCCTTTTAGACATTCACATTTCTTCTTTGAGAAAGTTTCTGTTCATTTCGTCGCCTCATTTTTGATGGGGTTGGATGTTTTCTTCTTGTGGAGTTCAACCAGTAATTTGTATATCCTTGATATAAAACTCTTGTCGGGTGTGTATTGGGCGAATATCCTTTCCCATTCTGTAGACTGTCTTTGTATTTTGGTCACTGTTCCTTTGAGGTGCAGAAGCTTCTTTGTATAATAAGGGAGCAATAAATGTGAAGGAGAGTAAGGAAAGCCTCTTTAACAGATTGTGTTGGCAATAGTGGACAGCTACATGCAAAAAAAATGGGCTCAGATCTCTGCCTAATACCATGTACAAAAGTAAGATCTAAATGGATTAAAGACCTCAATGTCAGACCGGAATCCATAAGGTACATTGAAGACAAAGTTGTCAAACCCTCTATGACATAGAAGCTAATGATATCATCAAAGACGTCACACCACTGGCCAAGCAAGTGAAAACAGAGATAGACAAATGGGACTATCTTAAACCAAGAAGTCTCTCACATTTTTACCGAAGTAAAATTTGACAGAATCAGCAAAAGGGTCATTTAAAATATGTATAAACACATATAGATGTGTATCAATATGTATTTTATGTATAATACATAAAATGCATGCATATAAAACATACATATGCCTAGATGTATATATTTTACATTTATAAATATTTAAAATGACATATAAATATAAAGAAATTATCATAAAATATTAAATAGAAAACCTTTATCTGATGTATGAACATACTTTTTTCCGCCTCATTTAGTTTCTGTTCGTTTTAGACCATGTTTTCTTAACTGTACAGGAATGTATGAATGGATTATTTCCGGATTTTTTTTGTTTGTTTGTTTCTATTTTCTTGAGTAATAATTTATAAATATTAGCATTTTGTGCGAGAGAGCAACTCATGGAGAAATAGTAAGTCCAGATCATGTACAGCACACAACAGATATATAAAACAGATATAGAACTACTTCCCTAGAAAATGCATTGGAAATTATTCCTAGAATTTCACATTCAAATTCTTCCATATTATCCAGATTTTGCTTCTGATTATTACTTGTGTGAAATACAAACATGTCTGGAAAACACGGAAAGATTAATGTTAATAGCGAATTTATTCTGTGTGAACCCTATACAAAAATATTTTTACCTATATGTATTTGTGCATATATATAGACCACGAAAATAAATGGTGGTTCAGTTATAATATTCAGCTTTATGAAGTGAGAATGTGATATCTGAAATACAATAACAAAATTTCTGATTACTGTGTCTACATGTTTGAGTTAGGTCATATGAATATTTCCTGACATCGCTGGCGTCTCCTGAGGAAGGCTGTATTGACTTCCATTCTCCTCAGGAACATCCTGCAGAGCTCTCTGCAGAATTAGTTTTAGGCTCTTTCTTTGCTGTCTTTGCTGCTTTCTATAAGAGCCAACATAGAAGTAAATGATGGGATTGGCACAGCTGTTGACACAGGCTAATACGTGTGTCGCTAAATTTACTTTAGGGATGTCCAAGTGAAAAGAATTTCGCATCCAGTGTAAGAGAAAATCACTGATTCCCCAGGGCAAGCCACATAAGAGGAAGACCAGAATTGTGAGTCCGATGGTTGCATACAGCCTGGTCAGCTTCATTTTCAGGGACCCACACAACAACCTGGCCAGCAGCACCAGGCTGGACCCGAACATAAGCACAAAGGAGAAAAGCAGCCATGTGGGAATGCTAAAATCAATTATAAAACACAAATTTCTATCAATATATCCAAACCATGTGTCAATTAACCCCAGTTTTAGAATGGTCAGGAGCAGAGAGAGCACCCAGATCACGGCACAGACAACAGATGACATATGTTTTGGGCGGTGGCAACGATACCAGATGGGCTTTAGGACAGACAGGCAGCGCTCAGTGCTAATGGCAGTGAGAATGCTCAGGCTTGCAACATAGGGAAAGAAAAATCCTAAAAATAAAACTCGTCTCATGTGGATGGAGTACTTATATCCAACAAAATTCATTATGGAGAATAGCATGTAGGTGCATAGAAAGACAAAATCAGCTCCAGCCAAGTTGAGGATGTAGACGGAGAAAGCATTGCTCTGTATGTGGAAAGCCAGGAGCCAGAGCACCACAGAATTTCCTGCCAGCCCCACCAGGGAAATGATGAATTCCACAATGCTTGAGATCAGCAAAGCTATTTTATACTCTTTATCAAAATCCTCCCAGTCACTTTCATTCTGCCGTTTGCTTTCGGTCACCCAAGGTGTGACAGTTACATTCATGCTCAGAAACTCTCTGGTGGTGCTCCTGGAAACAGAAACGAGAAAGAATTTTCAGTATGATCATGGATCCTCATGGCCATAGAGGTACCTGAGACCAGAGAGGAGCAAATTATAGAGTCTCTGCAGGCCACACAACTTTGGCATGCTATATTTGGACTCTGCATGATCTTTATAAGAATCCTGATCCACAACTTTTCAAAAACATGAAATGTTCTCAGGTTCTAATTTTCCCACTAGTTTTCTACACCAAGACCCATCACACACTGTCTGGAGGGGAGTTTTCTGAGCAGGATGTAAGACAACTGCGAACTCTGAAACCACCTTCTTGTGCTCTGGGCTTTCTGTTCTTCTGAGGCATGAAAAATGTGACATCTCCGTGACTAAAAATGACCCAGTAAAAGAAAACAGGACCCCAGGATATGAAAAAATATGATCCTAAAGTAGAAGGTCTATTAGGGCCTACATGTCAGCTCTTGAAAACAGCGAGCTCTTACTCATCTTCATTAGTGTGGCCCAATGCCTCCATTTGTCAGGGTTACAATGGGTCATTAGGATATAGATAACAAGTGAGTGACATGAGTGACGAAAGGTTGGAACTAACCACAAGTGTGTGTGAAGATGAGGGTAGGCAAGATAGAGAAGAGACCTCTATGAAAATAATAGCTGGTAGTGATAATGCTGGACTTGATTGGCAAGATTGGATGGTTAAAAGTAGGTTATGGATATTCTTGATAACCTTTCAGTATCAATATTGCAAACCACAATGTCCAAGAGGAGATAGATAGATAGATAGATAGATAGATAGATAGATAGATGGATCTTCAGATAGATATACGTAGAGAGAAGTACGGAAGGGTGGAGAAGGGAGTTGGAAGGAAACTGGTACCATTGGTGGTGGGAAAAGTATATTGATGAAGTGATGGGTGTTGGAATACTGTATGACAGAAATCTAATCTTGAATCACTATGTAATGCTCTAAAAATAAATTAAAAAGAAAAATACAAGAAAAAAAACAAAAGTAAAATATTTAAATAACAGATATGTAAAGAAGTATCATTACTTATCCTTATTTGGAAAGATTTTGTGTCTGAGAGTATTCATTAAACATGCACAATGACTAGTTCTGTCTTCTGTGAGCTTAAAATAAAAGATAATCTAGTAGGTACATGCTAATAATAAAGGATATTGTTTATCATAATAAGTAAAAATTCAGTGAAAGCCCAGCAAGCTTTAGAGTATCCTGCCCGCACGGCAAAGCCTTGCAAGCTACTCAAGACAATTCAATATGCCAAACACCGTAACAAAAATTTTCACAATGGAGACCTTACTGGGCTCACTTGAGCAAATCAATGAACAATGGGAGGACAGTGCTGCAGTGCGGTATGGAAAAAGACATCCATGCATTGGAGAGAGTCGGCAGTGGGGCTAATGAAAGACTTCATTATTTACTTAACCTGTTACTTATGAAACTATAGAAGACAGATAATATTTGTAGTTTTTTATTATGTAATTTTATAGGGAATTCTTTGAAAAATGGGCTAGGATATTGTTTTTTGTATTTTTTGTTTGTTTTTGGCCACACCCAGCAATGCTCAGGGGTTACCCTGGCTCTGCACTCAGGAATTACTCCTGTTGATATTGGGGGACCATATGGGACATATCGAATCCAGTTTAGCCACATGCAAGGCAAACGCTCTACCCACTATACTATTGGTACAGCCCCCATATTTTTAGATTTTTTAATATTATGGCAAACTATGTGATTCTCAGGGGTTAGTATTGGCTATGTATACAGAAACAATTACTGGACATGCTCAGGGGACCATATGGGATGCTGGGAATGGAACCTAGCTGGACTCATGGAAAGCAAATACCTGCTGCGTACTATCACCAGGCCCCATGCAGATTGGTTATTGGTAGGTGTTTTTGACCAGAGTGACTTATGATATAAGCACAAATGATCATTTGAATGTTAACATGGGAATAATTGGCAAACCAAAGTGAAGAAGAGCAACTGGATTAGTGCTATTCAAGATAAAATCTTTGTCTTCATCTGCTTAAGAAAAAAATTGAGTTAACAGAACAACACTGCTGACTCTGAGAGGTTGACAGAATAGCTGAGTAGAGAGCCTTTTTGGTCATGTCATGATACTAAGATCCAGCCGGTGGGTGTGGTGAGTGAGTGAATTAAGTAAAGGCATAAAATTAATCCTTAAGTGTCAAATCTAAAGATTGATAATTGGCACCATTCAAAACTAATGTAAAAATAATGAAAATACTAAGTACATACTATCATTTCTATACAGAGTAAAAAAAAATGGAAGCACAAAGGTTTGAGTGGGTTTGAGTGGTAGGTACCTGATTGCATGCAAACAATAGGTATAGTGCTGAATATCTAGGTCTGAGTCAGTTACTTTTCCTTTATGAAATCACAGATCCACTTGTAGAATGCAATGACACCTACTTAAAGAGAAGTGAGAGAATGACGCCAGTTACTCTTCTACAGATCCCATGAGGAATATTTTGATTTGATTTTTTAGCATAGCCTGGATTATATAATTTCAAATCTTAAAGCTATTTTGTTAAAAATGAGGAGAAAGTGTTTAACATTTAAAACAATTTTTAACATTCCAGCATCACACATGTGCTTTGGTTTCACTTCCCTCCATCATTGTCCCAGTGTTCCACCCCCTCTATCTTCTTCCACATTCTCTCCTCATCTTCATATATTTTTGTACTGAAGTCCATTTCTCAGTTTCTTGTGACCTTGGGCATTTGTCTTTCCTGACATTATTTCTTTATATGAGACAGATTATTCTATCTATGCTTTTTTCCTAACTTCTCTTACAATAAGATCCATCCACATAGCATAGATGGATGTTATTTATTATTTGAAGGCTCCCAAGAACAATGCTCAAAGACCCAAGTCCCTTCCTGCTAGGAAACCTAACTTTTGGTCTATCAATCAGAAGACTAAAATGGTAGGGGAACACTATTATGCATTACCCATACAGTGGAAGGAAGCCTCGTTTACCTAGATATGATGAATAAACCATCAAATATATTTTGGGTCTTGCAGGCTTGGTGGACAGAGGAGAAGAGGGAAAGTAAAAAACTATTTCCATCCATCTTGGCACATGTCCTGTTCATTAATGTCATTGAACACAAATTTCAGTTGTGATAAGTGCTTGTATTTTTTGCCTTTTGACAGAAACCTTAGAAACCCAAACCTCCTTCATTTTGTTGTGGTTTACAATATTCTCATTTATATAATCTCCTCATGTAGCAGTATTCATTTTGACTATTTATTGTAAAAGCCTTACTAACACAGAAGAAGACAAATTATGGAGAATAAATGAGTTTTGATCTGGTTAGGTTACCATAGACCCTGATCCAGGAGCCAGGACTAAATAGTTTCAGGTTTTCTGCCACATCATTTATAATGAGATGAGTATCAATCAAATGTCTCCAAAGTGGTAGTTTCTGAGAAGCAATCAGCATTGTAAATTCTCCTCAAATATTATTGAGGGTGTGGAGACACAGCTGCCTGATTTTGAGTGTTATCATCAAATTAGGTCTTGTCATCAGTGGGCACCTGATGTGAGAAGGGCAGAAGTAAGGCACAGACTCCATGTGTTCTGTTTTCCCTTGCTTCCATAGCTGGTGGCTACATGTCACAGAAGATAACATGGTGTAAATAAAATTCTTTAACTTTTTCATTTATTTTTAGAATTAGACATAAATCAAAAGGGAGAAGCATGTCTTCTCAACACTTAGGTCAGTTTTATCTATTGTAGTTCAGTTAAAATACATTTGTTATTCTTTCTTTAAAAATCAAAATCATGCACGCAAAATAATTAGAAATATTAGCTTCCCACCATATTTTCAAATAAAAGTCAGATATTACTGGCAATAATTTATCATAATAGTAAGAAATGAGAAATGATAAATCATTCAAAAGAAAGTATACAGATGGAGATATGGCAACCAAGAAAATAAAACAAAAAATTATGTGGAATGTGGTGAATCAGAGATCCATCACCCAGAGAAAGACCCATAAACTACCATCTGACAAGTATCCTCCAGAAGTTAGAGTATTTTGCCTTTTTCACCAAATCCTATTTATATATTCTCCATAGATTATGCATCCAGAAAAAATATCTCTGTCTCACAGATGGATTCCCATTTTCTATGACTCTGGTGAATCCAGGAAAATAAGACATGAAAAAAATGTGAGGACAGTAATTTGAAATACCTTCTCACTGCAAAGCTGTGAGTTTGTAGTGACACAAGTTGGCAGTGAGCAAGGCAGACACCCAAACTGCTGTCCTTTCTCTCTGGACCCTGAATTTCTGTGTTTTCTTACCATACTCATGTGGCTTCCAGTTTGAGGTTCATGGATGTGCCTTCAGACAAAAACACAGAAGTGCCTTGGAAATAAGCTGGATAAACTTACCTTCTGGTGTTCTTCCTTTAAGTAGAAAGTTGACTCCTGCTGACAGAAAGAGTTTGTAGACATTCAAGTTTGTTTTGAACCCTTCTCTTCCACACAGAAGATCCTTAGACAGAGTGGGACTTGGTGAGAAGGAGGCTTATCAAGTTTTCCAGGAGCTCATGTGAGTTCCTGTTCAGAGACCTGCTGTCAAATGAGAGAACTATGTTTTTGGTATCATGAGCTCTCTTAGGATGTGTCTCAACATTAGATCTGATAGAACCTCTATTTCAGTCTGTGCATCTCCACCCCTGTAGGGTACTCTTCCTTGCAAGTATTTCTTATAGATTCTCTCACTGAAAGCCATATGTCTGGGCAGCAACATAAAGCAATGCAAGTTGGCTCTGTGAAGATTTATAATTAGGAGTAAAATGCACTTTCTTCACCTGAGACTCATTCTCTATCTGGCTCCTTAAAATTTTGTGTTATCATGGTAATAAGTCATGTAGTTTCTAGTTTTTCATACACTTAACTACAGAAATAGATTAACTTATAAATAATCTTCTCATTCTATTTCTAGAGCAGCAGTTCGG